CAGAAGTGGCGCTGTGGCTCAAGTGGTAGAGCGCTAGCCTTGAGCTGAAGAGCTGAGGGACAGTGCCCAGGCCCAGAGGTCAGGCCCCATGACTGGCAACAAAACAAAACAAAACAAAGAATCTGGAGCTCCTTGTAAGATATATATATATATATATATATATATAAATTTTGTCCATCTTCAAGCTTGTTTGTTTTTGCCAGTCTTGGGGCTTGAACTCAGGGCCTGGGCACTATACCTGAGCTTCTTTGTTCAAGGCTAGCACTCTACCACTTGAGCCACAGAACCACTTCCGGCCTTTTCTGTGTATGTGGTACTGAGGAATCAAACCTACGGCTTCGTGCATGCTAGACAATCACTCTACCACTAAGCCACATTCCCAGCCCCTCTTTTCCAGTTTTTGTAAATTCACTCTCATAGAAAACACAATATTAAGAATAACTTCTCAAAACAAAAGCAACTGGAGGTTTCCAAAGCTGAGCTGGTAGGAGTTTCTGGGAGGTTGAAATCTGTCTACACCACCCCAACACCACCACCAAGTCGCCTCCATCTGGTGCCAGGACACTATGAGGAAAGTAGATTAACTAAGTGTGGCCTGGGTAGGCCCTCCTGGGATGGAGAAGGAGTCTGAGAGCCAGCCAAGATGCCCAGGAGGGCCTCAGTTTTCTCCGAGGGCAGGTAAGAATGACAGAGGCCTTAGGCACAAGAGAAAGAAGCCTGGTGGCCAAGGTTATGCAGCTGGAGTGAGATCCCCACAGCATCTGGGGCTCTGGAGTCACAGCTTTTAACCTCCCTCAACTGGAGAACAGCCGAGCTTTCCATAGGCTGTTCCCATGGAGAAGGGATGCTTCATATAGGGCTGTTTCCATGGAGACAGAGTGTTTATTTCAGACAGAGGGCTATTTCACACTCATTGGGTCCACTTGAAAGCCCAGAGCAGTCTATACTGGCCCAGAGCCCCTCTTCCTTCTGGCCTTTAAGGGCCAACCTCTTACTTTGGGAGGCAAGTGAGGTGGAAGGAAGAAACTGAGGGATGCTGGGAAATGAAGAAAAACACATCTCTAGTAACTGGACTGCAGAGATGGTGGAAGGGCCTCTTCTTGTCACTGCATGAACCTGGACACATCTCTTCCTTTTTGTTGGTGGTGTTTTGGCAATACTGGAGTTTGAACTCGGGGCATCGTGCTTGCTAGACAGGTACTCTACTGCCCTACCACCAGCCCTGCTTTTTGCTGGGTGTTTTGGAGATAGAATCTTGTGAACTTCTCTGTCTAGACTGGCCTAGCCGCCGGCTCCTGAGCAGCTAGGATTATAGGAATGTATGATCAGGCCCAACTCAGGCCATGCCCTAAGCCTTGCCCACTACTCGACACCTCCTCCTACAGCATCACTGTGATCTTGGGTGAATCGCTTCCTCTTTTTGAGTACCCGTGTCCTTATCTGCAAAGCAGAAATGAGATTTGGCATGGTTGCTCCTGCCTGTAATCTCAGCTACTCAAGAGGCTTACAATTCACGGCCAGCCAGGGCAAAAAGTTACTGAAGACCTCATATCAACAAATAAGCCAGGCATGGAAGCCCCTAGCTGTGGCTGAAACTGCTTGAGAATAAATAGGTAGGAAGTCCAAGGTCTGAGGTCAGCCCCAGACCAAAACCAAAACCAAAACCAAATCCCAAACCACAAAACCCTACCTGAAAAAAAAAAAAAAAACGAAACCAAAAAGGACTGGTAGTATAGCTCAACTGGTAAAGCACCTGCCTAGCAAGTATAAGGCTGTGAGTTCAAATTCTCCTGCTCTCCTCCCTTCCCCTGTGCTGCCCAACATCAGACACCAGCATGCTCCAACCCTGCTTCAGACAACCAAGACTTTAATGGAGTCACAGACGGGAGATGAGCATTGCGGAGACCTTGCGTAGCACCAGGCCCAGCTCTGTGGCTGTCCCCTGT